AGCAGCAAAAAATCTACTTTTACTTTTTTTTTTTTTTTTCCCCAGCATTGCGTTCGTCAAAATACCGTAAAATTCCGAAAATAAGCCCTCCAACGAAGCCCCCAACTCGTAACGCAAAACCCTCCGTTAAATCACCCTCAAATATAAGGGGGACTTGTACTTGGCAATTGCCCTCAAAGAGGGTCTCAATGGGAGTTAACCGATAGGCGTAAAACGGCCAAAACTTAGTCGATAGCCGTAAAATTGAAAAAAAAAAAAAAAAAAATTTAACCGTTAGCCGTAAATAGGGTAAAAAAGAGTTAACCGTAAAAGAAATTGTTCCCTAGATTTGCGACTGGTGTGACTCCGTACGCACGTTAGGCGAAGCGCCTTTTAGGTGTTAATCAAGACCCAGGCTCCATTTTCCGGCGCCCTCGCGAGAAACTAATTTTTTCCATAGCGAAGGTGTGGCTTCTGCTGGAATTAATATTTGCAATTTTCAGGAGTTCGTAACCTTGAAACACCTCTTCCTTCTCCAACAACACGCAGAGATGTCACTGTTTATAAAACACGTTGCCGATAAACAACATTTCCCTGTCTTTTCTGACGCTACGGTAGACATTGCCATGCTTAGTCCCTGTACGGCGTCTTCCCCACGCAATCTCGGTCAAGGCATTTCGGTGGCGAACTGGCTTGGACTACGTGACCCGAAACGCATTAGCCGCGCGTAATAATGCGGCCTACAGACAAGGCAACGGCAGACAGTCGTTCCGTACAGTCCCTCGCTATCATTAAAAACACTGGACACGGGAATTTTGTTATTGGCCGTTTTCACACTAGGGCTAGAAATGGATCATCCGTCTGAGACTAGCCTGTGTACAGTCGCGCCCTCCCCACACACACCCCTTCTCCGATTTTTTTGGGGGAGGGGCGGCTGTACAGAGGTATATGGGAACGGATAATCCCGCCTTCAAAAGTCAGGTGGATTATTCATTCAAAATTAAAACTATTCGATTTTCAAATTAAGACGTATTACCTATCTGATGCGAATCATCAAACGGATAACCCGTCTCACAACAATAATCCTTGTCTAGTGTGAAAACGGCCATGTCTGTTATAATGAATGTCCCCCCCAGCCTTGAGTTGGGCGTTCGCGTGTCTGCTTTTGCTTTTCACAAAGATTATTTTAAATTGACTATTGACATTTCTATATGTAAAATAATATTAGAAGTGGAATACTTTACTTATAAAAAAGTCTATCAAATGTTAAAATTTTTCAAAAGAATAGCTTATTTCATCCGAGATGATCTGAAGATCTTTATTTTGATTTAAAGATACAAAAAATACGGGTTAATTAATATTTAACTTTTTGAAACAAAAGAAGTTAATTTTTAACTTTTTCGTTAACCGTAACTGAAAAAAATTAACCGACAGCCGTAAAATAGCCAACATTTTAGCCGATAACCGTATCAGCCACCACCCCATTGAGACCCTCCTCAAATACAAAGTAAAACAAAGCAAAAAGGTAAATTTCCTTCTAACTATAAAAGCTAGCCAATCGATTTTGAAACGCAAATTTCCGTCCATAGATAAGCCCCTGCGAATATAAGCCCCAAAATAAGCCCCTCAAAAAGGGCCTTTAAAAATATGAGCTCAGGGCTTATTTTCGGATTTTTACGGTATCGTTGTCAGTCATATACAGAACAATTCCAAGAACAAAATCGTATTAAGAATATGCAGAAACTGTCCAACAATTTATTATACTACAAATTAACAACATCTCAAAGACAATAGTTATTGATTATGATACTTAACGTAAGTTTATGGGGATTTGCATTTTACTTGTTAATACCAAGTCATTTAATGATACTCTTTGGAAAATCTTACAATTTAAAACGTAGCTATTGTTTATGATACTGATTGTAAGTTTTTCGGGGGTGAAGCCAGCCATTTTTTCCTTTTAAGCTCCTAGGCCCAGTTGTTCGAAGGCCGATTAGCGCTTAACCCATGGTTCATTTTAACTCGGGTTCCTTTTTCTGTTGTTCAAAAGCATTTTCTCGGATAATTTTCTCTGTTATTTTTAAGAGCATCCAACCTTGGGTTATCTTAACCCAGCTTTGAACAACCCGGCCCTGTTGTAGAAGTCCTGAAAGGGAGGGGGGAGAGTGAGGGGGTCAGAACATAGAAGCAAGCTAAGTTAACGGTTACCTTCAGTTAAGATAATACAGCACAGTTCGCTTTTGCAGTTAAAACTGTTGCATTAAATGAGTAAATAGCATAACAGTGAGTTAACACTTATGTACACCAACAATAAACCTATATGATTCTAGCAGGTAATCAAACTAAACAAAGCGGGCCAATGTCCATCACCGCGACAGACATTTGTATCTGAGTTGGGTGCAATTTCACTCCCTGTTATTAACTTTCGATTAGGGAAGGTACGTTTTTAATTGGGGAGGGAGGGGGAGGGTGGGGCTTCAGAGGGAAGGGTCATCAAAAGCAAAAATGGAACCCTTGGGAGGGTCAACCCTTACCATAAAAGGTGGTAAGGGAGAGTCACGCCTCTTTTTTCACAGTGGTTTGCGTAAATGTGTTCAGTTACCACATTCATGTCGTTCTTTCGCATTTTAAAGCTTCGTACCACTCCTTCCTGTTGATCGGGAACTTGTAATTACTCAAGATTACTGTTAAACAGCAGTTTTATTACAGTTCATTTATCTGATTCATTCACTCTTTCTTTCTTTCTTTTTTCTTCCTTTTTTCTTCTTGTTCTGCAATGGCAAGTAACTGTCTCGGACGCCGGACGACCCGTGTTCTCTTTCGGCCGTACCTTGACGTTGATGTGTCCACTGTATGCAGTACAGGGCTGTCATATATCGCTCAATTCTCTCGATGACGTTGGCAATGTTTCAGAACCTCTAATCCTTTCCTCTTCATCACTTTCTGAACCCAAAGTTGAAGTTTCTTCACGCAGTGGAGTCCCTTTCTCCATGCCTGATAAGATCCTGCTAGCGATATATACTTTATATATGTCACTTTCTCTGGCTTCTTCCTTTTAAACACGATTACATGACGTACCAAGTACAAATTAAGTTCATGAACTTTCAACGACGATATTTGGTCAGAATTATACAATTCCTCTCATTCAGTGTTGTTGTAATCTTTTTCCAGCCGCTGCGTTTTCTGCCTTTCACTTTCAGCTCTTCGCTTTTCCTTACGCATTTCAATTTGAGCAAGGTGATAAACATAGTCCTCCACAAACTTCAGCGGGACAATACAGTTCCGAGAAAATTCAGCTTTTGTCTCGTCGTGTCCTGGATTTAATTTGTGTTGGTGGAACACTCTTTTCATTTGAGCTCGGGCTGAAAATCATCAGGTTCACGACCATCGATAGATGTTGCTGATAGTGGTAGATAATGGGAATCAGGAAGCTTGTCATAGTCAGGGAAGGATCGTATAGTTGGCTCTACGACCCAGCCCTCCCCCAATTAAAACGTACCTTCCCTTATATAAGCTCATTTTAACCCCTAAAGGCAGCTACGCCCCTGTTCTTAGGTTTTTCCGTTCACTTGTGGACTAATTTGGTTTAATAATACTGACAAAAAACTCTACAACTATCATCCTTCAATTACTGGTCATGATGCCGGATACTGAACATCACTTCTTAAGGCTCTGTTTTACTAAGTGCTAGTTCTGAGCCATTTAATGACTCCAACAATATATGAGTTAAGCTATTGCTCACGATACTGAATGTAAGCTCTTGGGTTTTCCTTTTGCGTTGCTAAACTACAGTCATAAAATACCGACAAAAAACTCTACAATTATCAACCTTAGCAATACAGGTCAAGATGATAGACTTGGAGTGTTAATTCGATCTATGCCATTTAATTACACTAATAAAAACATAGAACTCTTTAAATATAGAACATACTTAAAGTACGTTCTTAGGTTTTCCTTTTCACTCGCTAAACTAAGTCATTTACTCTGATACCAACGAAAAGCTCTACAACTATCATCTTTCAGCTACTGGTCAATCATGACGCCTGATACTGAACATCACTTCTTAAGGCTCTGTCTTACTTAAGAGCTAGTTCTAAGCCATTTAAAGACTAGTTAAAAAAAAAAAAGTTTAGTCTTCAGTTATCAACTTAAAGCTAGAGGTCATGATGATACTGAAAATCATTTCTTTAGGTCTCCTGTTTGACTTGCTAATTCTACAAGCTATTTAATATAAAAAACGTAGGTAAGGCGTCAGCAATACCCGGATCAGACCGCCGGAATTGAATAAACCGCTGTAACTCACTAAGTAACAAAGGTTAGGGATAGAGTCACAAAGGTTCATTCAGTCCGGTCCAGTCCAGGTTTTGTCAAAGGCCGTTTAAATTTAAACCTAAAGCTTCTGCGAACTTCTGTTGGTGCTCTGTATTCTATGCTTATATACTAAGCCTTAACAAACAGAGAAATACTCAACTATAAACCGTAAGCCATTGCTAACGATGTTGAATCAGTTCTTACGATTGTTGTACTAAATCTTAACTCTTCGCATACAAATCTAAAGCTATTGCTACTAACTCAATAACAGACATACATGTACGGTTAGGAATAAGGTTAACTCATCCGGTCCGATCCCGGTTTTGTCAACGGTCCTTCAGTTAAATACAAAACTAAAGCTATTGCTTATGAAACTGAACTGATAATACTAAGCCTTGAACTAACAGAGAAATCTTGAAATACAAAAGGTAAGCTATCGAAAATGATACTAAACTGAATCAGTCCTTATGATTTTTGGGCTAAATCAAATATAAACCTGATTAAATACTGAACATATGTTATATTGCTGTTCTGTCTTACATACTTGAGTTGCTAATACTAAGTCATAGAAACCTTAGCTAACTCTTCCAAAATATACCTTGAACCTTGCTTTCGAAACTGATTAGAACATTAACTTCAGGTTCTCCGTTTTACTAGCAACTACAAAAAATGTCAGATTTAAAAGAAGCTTTTTCATGTAAAAACGAGAAGCTGTTACTTCAGTCACAATGATGTTAACAAAAACTATGTGACCATAAACTTTACAATAAACTGATCACAAACTTACAAAATGAACCTACATAGTTCATTTACACTACACTGTTTTACATGCTAACATAGTCATTTAATGACACCAAAGGGAAATTCTTAAAAATATTCCTTAATCTCTTGTGATTATGATACTGTACATGTTTTCTGTTGGTTTGCTTTACTAATTCTAATTCACCCAATGTTAATAGAACCTCTTCAAATGTAAGCCTTCTGCTACTGCTTACGATACTCCGCATCAATTCTAGAGGTTTTCTGGTTCATTTACTTGCTAATAATTACTGTAAATCCTTAAACGATACTAAAACGTTGCTAAAAGATGAATATTTAATTAAAAGGTTAAACGTACTGTTGATGGCATACTTTTCGAAGCTTTTCCATTTTTAAGGGCTTTTTCTTACAGCGTGTTGTTCAATCCACCTCCTGCCAATGTGTCAATAAGAGACTGGCTGCTCACATAACATTTCTGGACGCTGTATGCACATCAATCATCAATGTTAAACTCCCAACTGCAAGATTAATAAGTAAAGACTAAACATCAACAACTATTTCGCAGTACAGTAAGACGAAAAACACTACCACAACCATCAATTAAAAAAATATATAAATAAACTTATTAAGTTCTACTTACAAGACACAAGTACTGGTGGATCCACCACTAAAAAAATATAAAAAATAAAACGGTGTTGAACAGAATAGACAGAGGTTAAAAAAAATATAACAATTCGTAAAAGATACATTCTAAAAGTACAAAAGAATATCAAGACCATTCTACAACAATTGTGAGAGATTGTTAGCAGTAACAGTTCTGTTTAGTTAAGTTAAACTGAGTGAGCTGCCACTAGATTCCTTCCGATAAGTGTTTCGATGTACTAAATACAGCAAAACATGTTCAATTATACCAGGTGTAACAAAACGAAATATTTTAAAGCAAGTTCAGATCTCAATAGGGTTCAAGAAAGCTTAAACTTGTGCGTTAAATTCTGCAAACTTAAGGCGACAAACAACAATACACGGCCTTTAAGTGAAAAAATATGCCACGGAGACAAACTAAACAACTTTTAAACATGTTTAATATTAGCGCAAATTGCAAAAGAAGCGTAAAGGTTTCGTATGTTATTATTAGGTCCTGCGCTAACGGCGTTCGTTAAACTCATCGCTAATGATGAGCTTGGGAGCAGGTGCCTTAAAGGTTAGTAGGGGGGCCAAATGCAATAAGCAGAGAGGAGGTATCCATGGCAACCCTGGAAGCGGGAACCACCCCAAGAGCAGCCACTAATGCAATGCAAAGCAACACTGGCAAAAGGGCACACAAGGAGCCCTGCAATTCCCCGCGGGCCGCCCCGTAGGTCACATACTGAAGTGGGAGAAGACCGCTGGCCAACTCGCTCGAGTTTAACTTTGCCTAAATGATATTTAGCCACATAACAAGTGGGCCCTATAGTCCAAGGCAGTGTTAAAATATCATTAAGAACACTAGTGGCAAATTAGCATGGGTTAACCGATTTCGAGCCTGGAATGAACTTTAAGTAAAGTAAAAATCCCGTATCATAATCCCGGTTCTATGCCTACCCGTTTGCTACCAATATAACGTTCTGGTTACACGCTGATTCCTTCTCATTGGTAAGCACACAACTGTCCCTCAGCAGCAATCTTTTGCGACGTACGTCCACTAAATTTACTAAAAGGTTTTACAATCACAGTTGGAACGGGAGAGAATAGAGAACCTTGTACTCACAATTTGTTGCCAGGTCGACGCACTGCGGCACAACGTTTGTCTCCAAATGTCGCGCTTTCGGAAACTGCAAAACATTAAAATAAGGTGAACAAGTTACTCAGTTGACGGATTGAAAATTGATGTATAAAAATAATACTATCAAAACGATAAAGGCCACTTATTTGTGATTGCTTCAGTGAAATTTTCCTGGATACTATGGAAAGGGAAAACTGAAGGCAAAAACCAAAAGCAATCGACAATACTTAATCTACGCATGCAATTAGAAAATATCTGCTTATGTAAGGACCTGAAATCGCAAAATAAAACTGAATTTGTATTCATTAATGGTCCAAGATAAGACAGTCAGAACCATTACATCCCTATTAATTAAACAATATATATGCAATCTGCAAGAATATTTAAAAACTGAGAAGAAAGCTACTGGCAAAGTTCTTAAAGATTCACAAAGTTTTCTGGAGCTGAAATATCTCGCTCAATGAAGAAGGAACAGTTGAGAGAATTTGTTTAAAGATCAAAATATTTTCTCTTAGGTGATCATTTCATCAATTCTCATAACGTTTTTTCATGATGATGTATTAATATTGTTAGGGAAAATTGAGGTTTAAATTTTCTCAAAGAATTAGTTGAGAGAATTTATTTAAAGATCAAAGCATTTTCTCTTAGGTGATCATTTCATCTCTTCTCATAACGTTTTCTTATGATGATGTATTGATGATGTCAAGGGAAAATTGAGGTTGGTCACCCTTGGGACTTGAAGTGTTAAGCGGCCAGCGGACAGCCTCGGGAAGGGACAAGTGGCCGCTAAATAGAGTGGCTGCTTAATAAAGGTACTTTTTATAGTGATTTACTGACAGCTTTGTCTGCAGGGAATCTTGGAACAGGCCACTAAATAGAGTGGCTGCTTAATAAAGGTACTTTTTATAGTGATTTACTGACAGCTTTGTCTGCAGGGAATCTTGGAACAGGCCACTAAATAGAGTGGCTGCTTAATAAAGGTACTTTTTATAGTGATTTACTGACAGCTTTGTCTGCAGGGAATCTTGGAACAGGCCACTAAATAGAGTGGCTGCTTAATAAAGGTACTTTTTATAGTGATTTACTGACAGCTTTGTCTGCAGGGAATCTAGTAACAGGCCGCTAAATAGAGTGGCTGCTTAATAAAGGTACTTTTTATAGTGATTTACTGACAGCTTTGTCTGCAGGGAATCTTGGAACAGGCCACTAAATAGAGTGGCTGCTTAATAAAGGTACTTTTTATAGTGATTTACTGACAGCTTTGTCTGCAGGGAATCTTGGAACAGGCCGCTAAATAGAGTGGCTGCTTAATAAAGGTACTTTTTATAGTGATTTACTGACAGCTTTGTCTGCAGGGAATCTAGTAACAGGCCGCTAAATAGAGTGGCTGCTTAATAAAGGTACTTTTTATAGTGATTTACTGACAGCTTTGTCTGCAGGGAATCTTGGAACAGGCCACTAAATAGAGTGGCTGCTTAATAGAGGTACTTTTTATAGTGATTTACTGACAGCTTTGTCTGCAGGGAATCTTGGAACAGGCCACTAAATAGAGTGGCTGCTTAATAGAGGTACTTTTTATAGTGATTTACTGACAGCTTTGTCTGCAGGGAATCTTGGAACAGGCCGCTAAATAGAGTGGCTGCTTAATAAAGGTACTTTTTATAGTGATTTACTGACAGCTTTGTCTGCAGGGAATCTTGGAACAGGCCACTAAATAGAGTGGCTGCTTAATAGAGGTACTTTTTATAGTGATTTACTGACAGCTTTGTCTGCAGGGAATCTTGGAACAGGCCGCTAAATAGAGTGGCTGCTTAATAAAGGTACTTTTTATAGTGATTTACTGACAGCTTTGTCTGCAGGGAATCTTGGAACAGGCCGCTAAATAGAGTGGCTGCTTAATAAAGGTACTTTTTATAGTGATTTACTGACAGCTTTGTCTGCAGGGAATCTTGGAACAGGCCACTAAATAGAGTGGCTGCTTAATAGAGGTACTTTTTATAGTGATTTACTGACAGCTTTGTCTGCAGGGAATCTTGGAACAGGCCACTAAATACAGTGGCTGCTTAATAGAGGTACTTTTTATAGTGATTTACTGACAGCTTCGTCTGCAGGGAATCTTGGAACAGGCCGCTAAATAGAGTGGCTGCTTAATAAAGGTACTTTTTATAGTGATTTACTGACAGCTTTGTCTGCAGGGAATCTTGGAACTAAATAGAGTGGCTGCTGGTGATTTAACAGGAATCCACTAAATACAGTGGCTGCTTAATAGAGGTACTTTTTATAGTGATTTACTGACAGCTTTGTCTGCAGGGAATCTTGGAACAGGCCACTAAATAGAGTGGCTGCTTAATAAAGTGATTTACTTTTGTCTGCAGGGGAATCTTGTAAATAGAGTGGCTTACTGACTTTTAGATTTACTGACAGCTTTGTCTGCAGGGAATCTTGGAACAGGCCACTAAATAGAGTGGCTGCTTAATAAAGGTACTTTTTATAGTGATTTACTGACAGCTTTGTCTGCAGGGAATCTTGGAACAGGCCGCTAAATAGAGTGGCTGCTTAATAAAGGTACTTTTTACAGTGATTTACTGACAGCTTTGTCTGCAGGGAATCTTGGAACAGGCCGCTAAATAGAGTGGCTGCTTAATAAAGGTACTTTTTATAGTGATTTACTGACAGCTTTGTCTGCAGGGAATCTTGGAACAGGCCACTAAATAGAGTGGCTGCTTAATAAAGGTACTTTTATAGTGATTTACTGACAGCTTTGTCTGCAGGAATCTTGGAACAGGCCGCTAAATAGAGTGGCTGCTTAATAAAGGTACTTTTTATAGTGATTTACTGACAGCTTTGTCTGCAGGGAATCTTGGAACAGGCCACTAAATAGAGTGGCTGCTTAATAGAGGTACTTTTTATAGTGATTTACTGACAGCTTTGTCTGCAGGGAATCTTGGAACAGGCCACTAAATAGAGTGGCTGCTTAATAGAGGTACTTTTTATAGTGATTTACTGACAGCTTTGTCTGCAGGGAATCTTGGAACAGGCCACTAAATAGAGTGGCTGCTTAATAGAGGTACTTTTATAGTGATTTACTGACAGCTTTGTCTGCAGGGAATCTTGGAACAGGCCACTAAATAGAGTGGCTGCTTAATAGAGGTACTTTTTATAGTGATTTACTGACAGCTTTGTCTGCAGGGAATCTTGGAACAGGCCGCTAAATAGAGTGGCTGCTTAATAAAGGTACTTTTTATAGTGATTTACTGACAGCTTTGTCTGCAGGGAATCTTGGAACAGGCCGCTAAATAGAGTGGCTGCTTAATAAAGGTACTTTTTATAGTGATTTACTGACAGCTTTGTCTGCAGGGAATCTTGGAACAGGCCACTAAATAGAGTGGCTGCTTAATAAAGGTACTTTTTATAGTGATTTACTGACAGCTTTGTCTGCAGGGAATCTTGGAACAGGCCGCTAAATAGAGTGGCTGCTTAATAAAGGTACTTTTTACAGTGATTTACTGACAGCTTTGTCTGCAGGGAATCTTGGAACAGGCCGCTAAATAGAGTGGCTGCTTAATAAAGGTACTTTTTACAGTGATTTACTGACAGCTTTGTCTGCAGGGAATCTTGGAACAGGCCGCTAAATAGAGTGGCTGCTTAATAAAGGTACTTTTTATAGTGATTTACTGACAGCTTTGTCTGCAGGGAATCTTGGAACAGGCCGCTAAATAGAGTGGCTGCTTAATAAAGGTACTTTTTTTAGTGATTTACTGACAGCTTTGTCTGCAGGGAATCTTGGAACAGGCCGCTAAATAGAGTGGCTGCTTAATAAAGGTACTTTTTACAGTGATTTACTGACAGCTTTGTCTGCAGGGAATCTTGGAACAGGCCGCTAAATAGAGTGGCTGCTTAATAAAGGTACTTTTTACAGTGATTTACTGACAGCTTTGTCTGCAGGGAATCTTGTAACAGGCCGCTAAATAGAGTGGCTGCTTAATAGAGGCACTTTTTACAGTGATTTACTGATAGCTTTGTTCGCAGGGAATCTTGTAACAGGCCGCTAAATAGAGTGGCTGCTTAATAGAGGCACTTTTTACAGTGATTTACTGATAGCTTTGTTCGCAGGGAATCTTGTAACAGGCCGCTAAATAGAGTGGCTGCTTAATAGAGGTTCGACCCCACTAATATCTACAAACTGCACTATCCTTCACACAAGCTCCTTTTCTGCAGCTAATATTTCCACTTTAATGTAGGTGTGATCTGTCGACGCTACGTATTTAAACTTAGCAATTCTTCGACTAACGATAAGGAAAAAACGCATTGCTCACCTTTTGTTTCCCGGTTTACTTTGTCTCGCGGCAGTTTTACTTGGATAACTGCGCACATACATTTGGAGTTCTTAAGGCCAAAAGCGATCAAACCCTTTTGTGGACAGGAAGCCAGACACTGGGACGGTTCAAAATCTATATCAAGTACGGTTAGGAAATCCCCAGTGCTAACATTGAACAACTGAAGACAATAGCTCTCTGAAGTATTCTTGCAGACGATAACACATTCCGTGTTACTTACAAAGGCACAGCCAAGAATTCCGTTATAGCCATGAATTCTGTCAACGGTGCATAGCGTCCGGAGATACTTTCCTGAAGATGCTTCAAGCACAAGTACTTCTGTCTTCCACGAAGAGTTTTTAGACGAGACAAGGACAAACTCCTCTGTTGGAGAAAACATCCCGGGTAGGTCAACAAAAAAAAAAGATCGAACTTCTATATTGAATTTCAGAGATCTCTTCCATAGTTCATTTTTACCATCTGACATCTGAACTGAGCTACCAGCGGTGGATAGCAGCTGAAATTTCCTGTTACATACTATGGGTACTTTACGCAACCAATATGGTGACCGGAAACCCTCGTGACAAAGTGGGATGGTCTTCACTATGTTTCCATTTGATGTGTCCAGGATGGTTACTTGAAAATCTCTCCCCACACACGCTACACATCGGTCTGAAAATGGCTTTATATCCCTAACCTCGCTTAAATTAGGCCAACTTCGGATTTGTTGTGACAACTCAAAATTCCATAGCTGAACATCTGCCCCAGGTTCTCTTTGTTTCAAAAGGACACCCTCTGACACAGGTACAAGGAAAACATGAGGTGTACGTATCACTTTCTCTGCTTTACGATCTCCACTCGACACATCCAAAGATACCACTAGGAAGCCTTTATACCCTGCAGTGGTGCAATAAATGGTCTTTCCATCTAAAGCGAAGGCAATGCGACAGATACTAGAAAAGAAAGGAGAACGCTTCGTGGCCGTCGAATAATCTTCATGTTTAAGCATTGTAATTTTCCTCTTGCCCGGAAGTACCCTTAATACACTTTGTTTGTTTAATACAAATGCAAATGGAAACAACTCAGGTAAAACGTCCGAGGAAATCCTGTAAAACATAGGATCTCCCATCAAGAATCCACCTTTGCTAGATGCTTCGTAATTCCATGGATCCTGGCCAAACTCATTGTCTAAAACGTTCAAGGAAAAGGTACCACAAGGCAACTTAATAACGTTTAAGGGATAACTTAAGGGTTGCAACACTGTTATTAACCCCCCATCGTTGCGTTTGTCTTCACTTTGTAGAAATGACCAAGAAAAACAAAAAAAGAATTGAATGTCAGAGGTAAACTTTATCATTCCACAAGGTTGTTTGGTGGTGACTTCTGCGAGAGTGGTGTCTAAGCAGTTCAATGCGTCAACCAAACATACCAGTCCTGAAAAATGGGAAATTGCCAGAAGCGTTCCATCAGGAGACCAAGCAAAAGACAAAACATCTTCATTTCTGATGGTTCGAGTGATCTCTTCACCATTTTTTAGATTCCACATGACAAGGCATTTAGCATCCCCAGGGCAATCGGTGATAATTTTGCTCTCGTCCCCATGAACTGAACAAACAGAAAATCTGCAGTTGCTTTTTGGAAACAGAGGTTGAAGGTTTCCTTTAAACGAGTAAGCATGGCTAAGGATTCCAGGAAGAACAATGGGCTCAGTAGGGTGAAAAACAACAGAGCGATAACATGAGTATACATTTGAGTTTCGGACCACTCTAAAGGCGAGAGAAGGTTTACGGTAGAATTTCCTGACCTCAACCGGCCGTATCCACCTTTGCTCACCCGTTTTGAGTGACCAAAGGTAAATCATCCCATCAGTACATTCGCAAACCATGAACTCCTGCGTCAGTGAAATATCAAAACAAACAACCGCGGAGTTACAGTGAAACTCAGCCTGGGTCTTATTTGACTCCTCCTTCAAAGCTTCCTTATGAAGGTACTCCATGTATGGTATTTCATGACTCTGTAAAACTTTCGTCGCTTCATCAGCAAAAACGTCCCCTCCCTCGTTCACCATCACTTGAAATATTGTACTAGGATGCGTGGAAAGTCTTCCACGGTACTTTCGTAAGAGAGACAACAACGTGCCAAGGGCTTTTCGCCTCTCACTACTCAATAACTGAAAAGCTTCTTGTTTCTGAGTAAGGATAATGTCTTCAGAACTAGCCGTGTTGTTTACACACAGCTTTGCATACACAATGTCTAGGTCGGTAACATAGTTGTTAACGATTTCTTCAAAGCTTCTTGCACCCTCATCCAGCTCTTCGGACTCGAGCATATGATAAACACCATGCTGTAGGGCGTACCTTGCAGTGTTACTGAATTCTGTTCCGTGAACGCCTTTTCTTTTCACGTTATTCAGTTCATTAGCACAGAGCTGAGAGAGCATGGCATGACCTTGCTTTTCATCCATAGAGAAGGTGTGTTGCCCGTAGGTAGTTCTGTCAGTCAACCAGTCCTTAACTGATTTGTGGAAGAACACAATACAGTCATCATGAACAGGTAGAAGGGTTGAGATAGAGTCAATAGCTTTTGTTACTTTCCGAGGACCAGATGGGGACTTCAAGTCCGAAAGCAATATCTTAGAAACAAGACCTCGTGGTAGCGGTTCTCTTGCAGCCGCCAAAGCACTTAGAAAAGTTAAAAACTGGTCCTCACCAATTTCCAATTCTTTCTCTAAACGTTCAAAGTAGGACTGATAAACAGACGATACACCTGAAGGTAAGGTTCTTCCTAACTCTTCGGGAGTGAGAAGTGAAACGTTTTCCTTGATAAAATCGACCATCAAATAAGCATATAAAAAATGCCCTGCAGCCTTTCGGACCAGTGCATCGATAATGACCTCGTTAAAGCCCGCTTGAATAACGCTGCTCAACTGTTTTTCAAGGAAGAATCTGATGTCTTTCACGTTTTCTTCGTCATCTTGCCCCAGCTGAATAGGATTAAACCTTTTAAGACGATCTGCAATATTTACTTCAGGTCGAGTGGTAACAAGAAACCGGAACCAAAGAGGAAGTTTGCAAAAATGATTAGCCACGACATCAAGCAGATTATTGCGGCCTTTGTATTCACTTTCATCCAGGCCATCAATAACTAACAGCAAATTTCTCCCAGGGTCTCCTACGCTGCATAAAAGCTCTTCGAAAAGAAATTCGAACAACTCCTGAACTTCTAGGCTGTTCATGTCCACGCCCAAATTTCTAGAAAGTTTCTTCACAAGTTCACTTTTGTATTCTGGTAAGACATCACACAGCTGACAGGCTAACGACTGAAGCATCACCTTCGGGTTTCTGTAACGTTCCTTGTTGTGCTGACAAAAGTGACTTCCTAAGAGCCGACCAGCGTGTTGCATTCTCTGACAAACGACAGCGGCGATCACTGATGTACCCATTCCCGCATCTCCACTGATTACCATCACACGATTTTCAGATGTACGGTCGTCTAGCCACAACCTGATCTTCTCAAAGATGTGCAAGCGCGTTTCGCCCAGGTATTTCCCAGAGTGATACTGGATGACTCTCTCGGTATTAACTTTTGCCAATCTTCTCAGAGCTTCATCCTCTTCAGCTTTATCTCTTCTTTCTTCAGCGTTTGCAGCCTCATACTCGATCTGCTGCTGCGATTCTTGTTGGGTTCTCCGAACTTCGTGTAACATTTGTTGTAAATTGCCAACTGTCTGGTGTGTATCTTGAAGTGTCTGTTCTACTTGGCGAACTGTTTGATGTGTATCTTGAAGAGTTTTGTGGTCTTCCTGTTGCAAATTGCTGGCTTCTATTTGCGTCTCTTGCACTTTTCCAACTATTTGATGCGTATCGTGAAGAGTTCTGTGATCTTGCTGTTGGGTCTGGAGCACTTGCTGTTGTTTAGTAAGTAGATCTTTCAGCTGGAATTGGATCTCCTCGTCATTTTTCATCCATTCAGTAACAGCGCTGACATAGTCCTCTCCACAAGGCTCTCGCTTTAATCTGTCTACTTCAGACTGACTTAAACCAAGCGTAACAAGAACGGAACTAACTTCCTGCCATTTCACATCGAACACTGATGTCTGAATGCCAGTTGATGTCACGTGACCATAGAGCACGTTTCGATGGTACTTCATGCGAGCAAGGTTAGCCTCAAAAGAGGTGTCACTCGCGGGGGGCATTCTGTCCCAGCCTGAAAGGGGAGGGGATAGGCCGCAAATGTTTCTCAGCAAGAGGAACAGAAGAGTGATATCAAAGTTAATAGAGTTTGGTGGCCCTCCAGCTGGTGGTGGAAACAGTTTGTCCCATTGAACACCATTCAGAATGTTTCTATGCCGAAGGCTAGTAAGAATGGGATGAATATATCTGGAACTAAGATTGGCAGCCAAGTTGGCAGGAGGGTGATGGGAATCGAAAATATTCCTCAGTACTGTTGTTCCCCCATCGATGAGAAGCCTGCTTAGCTTGTTTCCATTTGTCTTCTCAACAGAGCTGGCCAGGGGTGACGGTGTTGCAGTCGCCATAAAAGCCAGAGAAGAAAATATCCACCACCTTTTAAATCTGTGTAGAAAATTGCAGTTATCTTTTTCTCACTTTTAAGGTAATTTGAAAGAACTGACGAGTTGTGTTCCTCACAAAGGTTATTAAGATATTCAGAAGGTCTCATAACATAAACATTTTAAATTGAATGGCTTTTGCATAATAGGCCTTTTTTCAAAAGTAAATAAACAACAAACAAACAATACTCTTTGTTTTCCCTCAAAAACTTTACATAAGCAGGCATTTTGTATAAGGAAGATTGTAAGTCCTCCGAGAAATTTAAAAGATACTGCTTGTGCAAAATTTTGGAGTGTATTATGACTACAAATTATGGTAGTTTTGAATTATAAGGCCTATTACAGTGCACACTTTCATTATCATGCAAATTTATATGTGATATTAATATATTTGGTCTTTCATCTTCATCCTTCATGAGTTTGAAACAAAATGACTTAATGACAAGCTCCACTCCCGGTTGGCTAATGTAAGCTCAATTAGGGAGAAAACTGAATATCTTAGTAGTAAAAAAAAACACTTCTAACATTAGTGTAAAGGGGTCATTGACAGATACAGTACCTGGATGACAGTTCTACAAGCACCAATCATACAAACTGAAAAAAAAATGACAAATGTTAACTAGAATTTAGGAGGCATAAGTCAAATTTTGGCAGGGATATAAGAGCACTTGTAATTTCCCTAGAGACTCATTGCCAATTGCAGAACCTCCTATATTTCATTTAATTATGGTTACAAAAGAAAATATAATACAATAAAAAAGAACATTGTCCCAAGATGCCACGATACCACACAAAACAAAATGAAAATTATTACACCATAAACAGAAACCTGAGCAAAATATTAAGTTTATTTGCATGCTCCAAAGTCCCATTTCCCCCCCCCCCAACTGCCCCCTGTCATCTCCCTACTTCCACTATTTCTCCCCTCTCGCATACCCTACAACTCCCTCTCCTCCTCCTCAACTTCCCCTTTTACTCCCACAACCCTTCTCCCCTGCCCCTCATTTACCACTGCCAGAGAGACAGTATCACTCACCCTCCCTCATTTACCAATTGAGCCTACATGTCAGGGTTGTCAAAAGTAGCCAGCTGCTGGCACAAATCGGCGCCTACTTGGTTAGTATCTGCCAGCTACTCCGCTTGGTATTTCTTTATGGATGGCCTTTTTAAATGAAATATCTCTGGACTGGCCGCTAACTTTGACAACTCAGCTGTCTACTTCAAAACTTTCTGACAACCCTGACACGAAGGTGTTCCAGCCCCATCTCAGTATAACAGCTGCAACTGCCACTATCATTGCTGACATTACATTACTACTACCACCTCAGTGTATCTCATAACATGATAATGATAATGATAATGTTTCTAATATATGCTGACAAAATTGTGCTCATTGATAATATTGAAAGAATTAGTAGGTCACTGCAAAATAAGTACTGGAAATGCAAATCAAATCCTTAGTTCTCTATAACACACGTATGAGGCGCCCTGTTAGGGCAAAACTCTGACAAGCGACATGGCCTTGAACCAGTGACATAAGACAAGATGAAATGGTGACAAATGACATAAAGTTGGGTTAAATATGGTGTAACAAAAAGCAATGTGGCCTACTCCTCAAAACATGAAATGACCCTATTTGAAATTCTGACCAGGGACATACATACCCCCTCCCCCACCCAACCCCACCCCCCAAAGAAACGAAAGTTAAAAGCGCTTATTCCCATCATGGTTGTTTTCGTGAATGATCTGCCTCGGTCGAGAGAAGAGTTGATTTTGCTGTCTTTTTTATTGTTTAATGGTCTTATGGTAGGAAAATAATGCCTTAATATGTGCCATGGAAATTCAGAAAATTCATATGGTTGTTCATATCTTCTCTGGATTTGCTTATTTACAGAACTAATGTCGCAGAGTTGAATCCCTCTGCAAGTTGTTGACCGCTAACAGGGTGCTTTTTGATTTACCAACAAATGAGTGCAGATCAAAATACTGTCCATTTTAAAAGTGGTTTTATTTGAAAGTTCAGCCGGGAATGACTTTTCTGAACGGGGTACGCAAGAGGAGGCTCATTGTGAAAGAAACCTCAATCGCCAACTGTGAAGTACAGTGTAATCAGACAAAAAACATCGCATGATCGCTGTTCAAGGAATTTTTCTTGGCATTATCATAAAAGCTGGTGGCGCCACTCTTAAGGTAACAGACTTGTTGTTTGCCTTCGCCTTTTGTAAAAAATAAACCATGGAAACAGTTTACTGGTGTCCTTGCTTGTTGGCCGTTTGTTAATTTTGATACTTAAAATAAAATTTAGCGAGCTTTTCAGACCGGCAGTAAAACAACAACACAACTAATTAAAGGAGAACTACAAAGTGTGTTTGTGACATTGTTTTTCTTTTTGCTTATAGCTTTCCAAAGTGATAACGTTTACATGGATTTATAAAGAAATATATTTTTCTAGATGTTTGTTTCTCTAGTAAATTTGCAAATTGCAAGTGTACTCACGGGACTAAATCAGCTAACTTAAATGCACTTGAGAACTCGTTGTTTTGTTCTGAGATAATTTATATAACCTTTTAAAAAGTTCATGATATATTCCTCCAAGATTGTCAAAGATTTATGTACTGAAAATCGGAGAAAATTGCTGAGGAAAATATAAAGGCAACAGGAAAAAAGAAATTTCAGTATTTTAAATTCGAGCACACATAGCCAAAACATTAAAACTAGAACATCTGGTGTCGCTGTCTTTTCGAAAACTTTTTACCTTCTACGCCAATAGAAATAACCTTCGAGATCTCCTTTAATCTCGCAAGAAGTTAAATGTGATTGTGTTGACTTTTTTATTTATAGTTGAAAAAATTAAAAGACAAAGGGTATTTTTTCAGTCAGCGAGTCTGCACTGTTCCCACATATGGAAAATTTGCATACTTAAAAAACAAGCAACAGAAGTAATTTTGGTTGGTTGATTTGGCAAATGTCAATCAATCAAAAAAGTGGGCGGCAGACATTTCGTAGAAGGTTTGCATCAATTAGTTCTCTTTTCATTTCGCCTTGCCCGCCGTAATGTTATTTACAAAGGGAAACGAAATTGAGCCTGATCTCAGGTTAGAAGCATCACATCATTATCAACATTGACTGGATGATTATTTATTAGGCCCAATTTTCATTTGGTAACCTAGGTTGGGAAAAATGTCCAAAAACAGAGCAAAATTGGAAGCATTTATCGATCCACAAGAAAAGAGGCCAAATATTTAAGGTATAAGTATAGGCTAATTTCCCGTAATTTCGTAGCTGCATTGAAACACTGAACAAGTAATGCATGTATCAGCGACTATTTTTTTATGGCTCAGTCAGTTCCAAGCATGCCCAGACCACATCATTCTAATTAATATCAATGACAGAACTATGTATTAACAAGATTTTAATAATACCTTTCTTATTTTCAAAGGTATTTTAAAAAGTAAACAAACAACTGACTAGCTTAACATTTTCTCATCACGATGGAACTGTTCCGTCAAAGTTTTTATTAGCTTTCTAAATTCTTCAAATGATGTATATGTATTCCTTAAAATTTTCGCAAACAGTTCTCAAAATGTTGGTGCATGCCGCCAACTTATTTTCATCGAGCAACTGAGAGAGAAAGAGCGATTTTTAAAATTGGTTTACTCTATAGAGCAAGAAAAGCAACATTATACCGAGCAAGAAAAATGTTCTTGCAAGCCCATATTATTGAAGGAAAAGATTCCTGATCTTATGCAAGCCTTCCCACTGGATACGGAAAGTCATTAGTTTGAAATAAAGTGCCGACAGGTAAGATGCGACTCATAAGCTCATGATAGTGTGAAACATGACCTAAGTCTTAGCTTGAGTAACAGAGGTTTTCCTTAGAACTAATTTCTTTCCGGCACGTAGATTATGCATCGTAGTGCATGGAGTACCATAAATGTTGACTGAACAAATCGTATTTGTGCCTTTGATTCTTGCATTTAGAGGTCATGAAGCTGGTATAACTCATGCTTATTGAGTCATTATTTTCTGTGGTTTTATGTTACTGTAGGTGATTGTGACAGGATTTGATCTCTGATGCCGTTCATTTTAGAACTGATTTTTCTTTTACCTCTTTGAAGACTAAAGCTTTTTGGTACCGCTAAAGAACCTTTCAATAAAGATTTCACTTTCTTTTCTTTTCTCCGGCGAATTCCCTGCATCTGAAAAGCTAAATGCGTGTAGTTGTCTCTGAATGTGATGATTTTCTGGTTGCCCGCTATGTTTTGACGACAGACCCTAAGGCCAATCAAAATCCCTCATTTACATCATGTAGTGATCTACGAGTAACAGCCAATCAAATCATCACGTGGCCTCCATTCACACGATTAGCAACAGTGAATCACAGACGCCCCTTCTCTGGTCTGTACACAGGCTATCACTGTCTTGCAAAATTTATCAATTATTTGTCTCAGCCGACTCGCCACTAGCAAATCACGATATTTTGCTCAATGTTAATTATTTTATACATAAACATAATTATCATGATTGTTTACATTTGAAGTTTGATAAGAAGATCAATTGATATGATGGCAACTGCAACAACTGACAAATGCTAACATAGATTTTTTTGGGCGGAGATTTAATTGTAATCCCCTAGCCTCAATTTTCGTTCGCGTGATCGATTTAGCAAAGATTGCGAGTGACGTCACGGCGGCCATATATTTAGTGATCAATTTCATGCAAATTCCGCGAAAAACCATTGTATTGTTTTGAACAGTAACATGACTGCCTTTTAATGCAGACGAAAATCAAGAATATGAACAGATAATATGAATAGATTCGGAATTAATAAAGAAAAGCAGACAACTTACCCGTTCCCGACTTTTTGAACTACATTTGTATCAACTCAATCAAGCCCGTAGTCTTTCAAAGTCTGCAAGTCTTCTCCATAGGCTGAGTTCTTTCCTAAGGAGGACAGTGATCGTTAA